GGAAATTACCTTCCAACAGAGAAGAGTTGGGAAACACCATTAACAGGTAGTAAATCTCTGCAATATTGTAGGTGTGGTCCTGGGTGAGCTGAAAGAATCTTCACAATTCCTCAAATAAAAGACTCACATTGTCCCCATTTTACAGATGCAGAAACCAAGATTCAGGGATCCAGTCACTGAAGGTCTATAGTTCCATGTATCCCAGTTTAAAACCTGTTACTTCACAGAAGAGACCCCAGAGTTCATAGGCAGTCCACCCTGCACTGGCTGAAGAATAGCAGGGGGACTATCAGAACTGTGTTCTCTGAGAGCCAAGGGTTCTCTGAGAGCCAAGCAGGACTTTCAGGAGGCTGAGAAGAACAGTGACATGTAAACTGGTCCTATCCCATTACCGTGGCCTCAATGTGGGACATCCCCCTACCATCCCCCCGCCAGAGTCAGGCTGGAGTTTGAGCTATGGTGGGGACACAGTGATGCTGTTGTTATAACATGTGGTCCAATATCCTGATGGGGATCACCCTGTGAACCCTTGCCTCACTATCTTGCGTGGATCTGCAGGGAGGCAGATGGTTATGGGCATCATACCCTGCCCAGAGGCTGGAAAGCAGAGAGGTACTGGATCTCATTGTGTCTCTGCACTCTATGACTCACTATCCACCAAATGTGGAGGCCATGCCTGCCCTGTGTCACATTTAAAGCAGTGACACATTTATAGCAGAAATCAAGGAAAATGATTTTGGGAAAAAAAAAAAAAAAGAAGACAGACTTTGAAGCAGCTTCCAGTTTCGAGGCATTGCTCCCAGGGCCTGCCTGTCTTGCCCAGTGTGTCTGCTTGTTGCATTCATAGTCACGAGCCTGGATCACAGTTCCAGGGACAGCCTGCTGTGGGAGAATGACAGCTTGGTTGGGCCACTCAGGTTGGATCCTGAACTGTTCTACTGACTCATTGTATTGGCCAAACTAAATTGCTTAACCATTCCAGGTCCTGGCCACTTCACTTGTGAGACCAGAGGGTGGGACTCCTTGTGCTGACCATGATGGACAGTGACCACATAGGTCCTGGGTGTTTTGTGGTTTCTGCCTTAAAAGGAGAGCCATGAGAGTCCTGATTCCTAAGCAGCTGCACATGGAGTGGAAAAGCCCTAAAACCCATGCCCCAAGAGGGCTGTACCATGCTGCCTGGCTCAAGGGTCCTGGGCTTAGTGAAGCCCCTTGATCTTTCACCTGGACGCCGACAAGGCTCTTTTGATGACCTTCTGGACACTAACCTCTTTCTACTCGAGGACCCCTGCAATTTTGTCTCAGTTGTCCTTTCAGGCCTTGGGTTTTGTTTGGCCACCTGCAGGCAGGCCATCTGCTCTTCTTGTGGGATGAAACCCTGCAAGCTGATCACTCCATGGGACATCTCTCTCTCCTCCTCCCTCTCCATCTCTTCATCCCCAAACTCTCCTTGGTCTTCTAGTCCCTGCTCAGACACCATCTTTCTGAATGATCTTTCTCGAATGTGCTTAGGAGATGGACCCTGTGCCCCTGTGGGCCAGGAAGCAGTTGCTCTCCTCCATGAATGACAACCCTACCTCCCACGTCCCCACCTGGACCTTGCCCCGCTCCTCCTGCTTCCTCTTTGCTCCTGAAAGGCTGTCTCAGGAGCATGGGAACAGAGTCCTCTCAGACTCAGGTCCTTCCCCGGGCTGAACTGGAGTTGGCTGGCACATCCTGTCGCCGTCTTTGATCGGGTATTTACCCAGTAGCCGGTGGCTGAGTGTTGCATTAGGCTCTGTCTGAGTCCATGCAGGCTGCTGGATCAAATACTGTAGTCTGGGGGCTGAAGCAACCAATTTTTATTTCTCACAGTTCTGTAGACTGGGAAGGGCGAGATCAAGATGCAGGCAGAACTAGCACCTGCTGAGGGCCTGTCTCCTGGTTTGTAGGTGGCCATCTTCTTATTGTACCCTCATGTGGCCAAGAAAAATACTGAGGCATCTTTCTGGGTTTCTTCTTATAAAGGCACTAATCTCATCCACAAATTACCTCCCCAAAGTCCCAAACACCATTATTAGGGGTTAGGATTTCAACCGATGCATTCCAGAGGATGCAAATGTTAATTGGCCTGGGATACAGGTGGACAAGGCAGGACAGGGTCTGCCTTCAGGAAACCAATGGCCACACCAGCAAGTGAGGGGCTCTCATCCCCTCTGCCTTTGTCCCTTCTATACTTTCCTAATCTGAATGGTCACCTGGTGTCTCCTAATTTACTCCTGACTCATCGGCTGCTTGGTTCCCGGATGGTCTCTCTGGTTCTGATCTGGTTTCCTGTGTCCACAGGGCCACACTGCCTGTTGGATTCTACCTGCTCAGATGCAGCCCCTCCCACATGGGACCTCCTTCAGGCTCCTGGGGTCCCCGGGGTGTTACTCACCCCTACCTTCCCCTGGCTCAGCAGAAGCCCCAGGTTCTCTGTTGAAGAGGATCAGGCCTCACTTCTCAGGGGTCACCACCAGCATAGCCATCCTCTGTGAGGTACCACTTCCACCGAGACCCTGAGCTTCCTGACATCAGGGCGACCTTTGCGTACCTCCCACAGAGCATCAGCAGAGACAAGCCTTACAGGGAGGCAAGGATCTCTCAAGGGAATAACCAACTCTGGTTTCCTAAGGTAGAAACTATGTCCAGAATGTTCTAGACTAGCTCTGCCTGTGGGCTACAGGTGCAGAGTGGAAGGTGGCATCTGATTTTAGCTCTTCCTTTTCCCGGAGCTATGACCTTAAAGAATCTCAGAGCGTGGAGCTGGGAGAAAAAAACAGAATCATCTGTTTGAATCTGTTAATTTAAAGATGAGGAAAATTAGGTCTCGAGAAATGAAAGAAGCTGTCCCAGCTGCCAGATGCTGACCGAGAACAGCCCTTCCACACCCCAGGCCAGGAGCGCTGTTCATGGTCCCTGTCATCAGCTCTGAGCTCCTTAGAACTCCTCTTCTCATTAAGCCTCCTTGTGTGCCTTTGAAATTTATGCTCCTCTTTTTCTTTGTAATTTTCTTGAGGAGAGCAAGAAAGACTAAAAAAGAAAATCTAATTTAGAAAACAAGTAATCCTGAATCCTTATGTCCAGGTTTCAAGAAACCCCAGAAAACCTTTTTCTCCTTTATTTTTTTTCTTGCTTAAATTTGGACTCAGCAGAAGGAAATAAATGAACCAAGACAAAGAGCAGCCTTACAGCTTGTCTTCTCAAATGCTTTCTCCTTTCTTTTCCCTCCCTTGACTGGCAGGGAATGCAGCTTCTAATAGACCATCAATGTTCACGATGAGCAAATACAATAACAACAGCGAATTACCCTTTCTGCAGGTCTATGGATATGTTCATAGTGGAATTTAATTTATAGATGGTCATGGCTGAAAGATTCTGGATGCGTGATAGAAAACAACATGAAAAACCAATAAGTGCATTTTTAAAAAACTCTCAGAAAATTTGATTTGTGCCTGGTCAGTGCACACCAGTAAAACCCCCAAGGAACAGAAGCCTAAGTGACCTTTGCCTGTGGTCTGTGGAAATGCCAGAGGGGGCTTGTGCTTTGAGTGCAGGAGGGACTGCTAGAGAGGGGGGGCCCTCCAGGAGAACAGTCTTCCCTCCATCCCTTTGTTCAACATTGTCTGACTCCAGAGAGTCCAAGAAAAGAAGGGAAATCAAGGCCGGGAGGAAATGAGAAGGCCCAAGGCCAGCTGCTGGGTGTGGCTTCTGCCTCCTCTCCTCTGGGGGTCCCCAGGGCCTTTCAATGTCTCCGTTTCTGTCCATACCTCTTATCACTTCTGGCCACCCACCCAGCATGCTGCAGAGTCTGGCTAAAATCTGAAGCTTCCACTACCCACTGTTACAGCCCACCCATCTCCTGAGCATGGCACATGGGTCTTCCTCCGTTGGTCTGTGGAGACTCTCCACTGTTCTCTCCCTTCAGCGCCAGCTTTGCACCTGAAGGCAGTGCCATGAGACTTGCCTCCCTGAGTGGGTCTGACCCTGCAGTATACATTTCACCCATTCTTTCTACAGTTTCTAGGGTGAAAGGCCCACAGACTAACAGTCAAGGCCAGCTTTGTGGTTCTAGGCCACCTGGGTTTGTCCTGCAGCCAACCGAGTGTTGAGACAGATTAAGAGACTTGCCTTCATCTCTCAGTGCAAAGATGACATTGGTGCATTTACATATTCCCAGCCCTCAGAATGGGGTTCTGCCCACAGGAAGTGTTCAACACGATTGGCCTAAAGTGATACAGCCGAGCTTTAATAGAAGATCTGTCCAGCATCACATTCCTCAGGAGAAAGCGAAAGTTTGAAATAAGTCCCTAAAACACAAGGGAATGGATCAATTGCCTTGTGAAAGACTCTACTTAAGTATGTGTCAACCAGTTCCTCTAGTCCTATTGATAGCTTATGGGTGAAGCTTCATTCCTATTTTACAGACGGAGAAGAAGATGCACAGAGAGGCAAAGCATATTGCCTGCAGCTGTACAGCTCTAAGTGCTGGAGTGGGATGCAGTAAAAGGCCTGTCTTTCTCTAAGACCATTTCTTTCTATTGCATCATACTTGGGTTCATGGAAATGGAGAGTGGCCAGGATCCAAAAGTTATCCCAGGATTTGTATGCTGTTGTCCAACCTAGTTCCTTTCCCCCACTGCTGAGCTCTGAGCTGCAGCAGGTCTAGCTTATCATATGGGTTGGCAACACCAGTTTTCACAGCCCCCTATCAAAAGATAGCCAAACCTGGAAAAGCAGGGTTGGAGCTAATCATTGTAATACATCCTCTCTTTTGTGCTGCCCAGGGACTCTTTAAGAGCATCATTTGGCACTGGGGATATTTAGGTTTTGCTATATTTTGAGAATATTATAAGAATTAAATGAGATAGTGCATGCAAAATACTTAGAATAGTGTTTGGAATAGGGTAAGTCCTCAATAAACATGTAGGCTGGAAATCTTTTCCAAAGTAATTCAATAACACATTTCTCCCCCTTAGTGTGCAATATGAGCTCAGAGTGAACCATTGAACCAAGCAGAGTTCCTGCCTCCCGTGGAATAAAGACCAAAGGACCCTGTTCTTGGAATAAAGGAGACTGACCATAACAATCAACAGAATGAATCAGGAATGGATCTGGCACGTGGCAGGTGGAAGGTGCTCTGGGAGGACGGGAGTGCCAGGTGGCTGGGGTGGGCAGGCAGGCGGGGTATTCCACGGGCTGGTCAAGGTGAGAAGGAGAGAATGAGAGAAGGCAATGTGGCTTCAGCTATGAGTCTCTGAAAGAAGAACCACAGGTCCAGGGAATGAATGGAGCAAAGGTCCTGGGGCAGGGGTGCAGCTTTCGGTGGAGTCACAGGAAGGAGGTTGTGTGGCTAACCTGGGGTGAGTGCAGGGTGGACGACAGAATCAGGGCCAGAGACCTGGGGACTCAGGGCAGGGGCAGCGAGGCCCTGCAGTCACTGGGAGGCCTTAGACTCAGGCTCCAAATACACGAGAAGCCAATGTAGGGTCCAGGTGCTCCCAGGGATGTGTCCAAGCATCTCCCTGCCTGTGGCCTGCAGAGTACATGGATTGGTGGGGATGTGTCCTACAGAAGTTCAAGTGTTGGAAACAAACATAATTCCCAAATTTGTATGTTAATGGTGCTCGGAGGTGGAGTCTTTGGGAGATAATTAGGATTCATTGAGGGCATGAGAGTGGGGCTCCATTATGGCTTTATTAGGAGAGGAAGAGGCCCAGTCGATCACACTGGCTCTGACTTGTCACACAATGCCCTGTGCCACGTTATGGTGCAGCAAGTAAGCCCTCGCCAGATGTGGTGCCACACTCTGGACTGCACAGCCTTCAGAAGGTGAGCTAATCAGACTTTTTTTCTTTATAAATTACCTGGTTTCAGGTATTTTGTTATGGGAACTAAGACAGGGATAACATAGAAGGAGAGAGATGGTTTTGGAAGCTGTTGCAATAACCCAAGCAAGAGATGGTGTGCTAGGACCAGGGTCAAGGTGTGGAGGTATTATTCTGCTATTAACAATAGCTGAGACTCTGTGGCGGTCTCCTGTCACCTCTCCCAAGTCGGCTCGCAGAATTATTCTCCTCTTCACAACTGTTTCCCTAGAAACCACTACACAACCAAGTTTCCCAGTGTTTCATATTTTCCTCTGTTCTTTTCTGTATAGTTTTTCTAGCTTCTTGGCTTTGTCTTCGGCAGCCTGCTGGAGATGTTCTGTCCCACCTGGAGTACTGATCACACTGTGCTTCCAGAGGAAGCAGAGAGCCGGGGCTGGCCTTGTGCCCTGAAAGCTCAAGTCACCTGCCGTGGTGTCACCAGGCCAGCTGGAGATGGGTGAGCAGCCCTTGATATCTGGGCTTGCCTCTCCAGATCCTGCTCTCTCCATCCAGGAGATAAGAATTCAGACCGCGTGAGCACTGAGATTGCTGGCTCCAACTTCAGAGCAGTAAATGGCAGTATTCAGGTAAAGTCCCAAGTCTGTCATCAGGAAGTTGGTAATAAAGGAAACACTCAACATGGGACCCGCACGGTGGGAAGAAGATGAGCAGGGCCCCTGTGCGGTACCGAGTGTGTGTGGGAGTTGCTCACATCGGCACTGCGAGGCTGAGTTCTGCAATAACATTTTAAGAGGTTTCTATGCTAGATGTTAAAAACAGCCATTATTAAAACTTAAATTATGTAAAATTACAAGTGAATAAGTTATATTAAAAGAAAACATAATAAAAACACCAAGTGCACCACTTTCTAGTTATTTTGCTGAATTTTTCTATTGTTTGTGGTCTTAGTTTTATGTACATCTGTTACCTCTGTATGTGGGAAATGGGCTCTGTGCTCTCTTCCCCACTCTGCAGTAGTGACTTCACACAGACAGCCTGACATTGGCCATGGGGGGGATATTTACACCACGGAAATTGGCACAGGTGACAAATCAGGGGTTGGTTCTTATTAAGAAAACAACTTGAGAAATTTAACTTAAAAATGTACCATGTCTATAGTTGTAGCACTGTGCATATTATAAAAATTGAAGAGGTTATCTTGCGATATTTGAAATTATTATTTGATTCAGCAAAGAATTTGCTTCTATCTCTGATGAACAAGTTCTGACATATGTCCCTGTTGTTTTGCTTATTAACATAAGGAAAAAATATGCTTTTCCTTTACATTAGTGAGGAAATATTGCTGTCAGAACTGCCTCATCCGTCAACTGCAACACAGATTTGCCAAGGATATAAGAGTTCAGCAAAAAAAATCAATGAAACCATTCTGTGAGAATCGATTGACTATGTGGAATCGATGATAAAGAGTACTGTGTATTTCACTATTATTTGTAAATGGCATGCTACAAATCTCTTATTTCAGTAAAATGTACAATAAACTTGTGCATGTATATATGCATATCCTGCCACGAGTGTTGTTTGCCACGGGCTACTGCACCTTGAACCTCTGCCACTCATAGTGTCCTATGGTAAAGTGAGCTGCCATGGTTTAGATATGAGGTGCCCCCCTGATTCTCATGCAAGAGAGTTGAGAAGTGAAATCACTGGGCTACAAGAGCCTTCACCTGAGCAGTGCATTAATCGGCTGATATGGATTAAATGGGTGCTAACCTTAGGCACATGGGGAGTGGCTGGAGGAGGTGGTCCCACGGGTGGTGTGCCTTTGGGGTTTATATTTTGTCCTTGGAGAGTGGAGAGTTCCCTCTCTCATTCTCTTTTTCTGCTTCCTATTTCCATGTCCTGAGCAGTTTTCCTCTAAATGCCTTTCCGCCATGAGGTTCTGCTCACCTTGGGTCCAGAGCTCTCAAGTTGGCCATCTGTGGGCCTCTGAAACTATGAGTGTCAAGTAAACTTTTCCTCCATATGTTCTCATCACATCTTTGGTCACAGTGACAAAAAATATGACCAAAACATGAGTTTAGCTTGGCGGCCAGTTACAGCTGGCACAGGGCACATCTGGCATTAGAACCCCGGTTTCTGGCCTGATGCAATAACTCCTCCGCTCTCAGCCACACGCTCTTCATCTCTAGAGCGAGATCAACAACGATGTCTTAGTGGATGCACGATGGGGCTGGGAGCACAGTGAAAGTTAATTCTATTCTCCTTTCAAGTACAGGAACAAGGAGAACAAATCCCTTAGAATTTCATCTCTTTTGTCCCAAAGTGAGTGTAAATTAGGGACCTCCTCCTCCCTTCCCTAATGTGCTTACTCCTCAATATTTGTTTTGCTATTCTCCGAGTTCAAGTCCCCTGCGTCTGCAGTTGTAACTGGAGGAGCTCTGAACCCAGGGCAGAGCCAAGTCCAAATGTCCTATTTCCTCCTATAAAAATCTTGGTTGATAGGACTAATGTGAAAAAAGGGGAAGAAAAGATCCAGAATTCTTCTGAGAACTGCAGGGTGACCTGTAGCTGCGAGGTGCAGGCTTCTCATCAAGGGACCAACGCTGGTCATTGAACTGCTTTCTTGCTTCCGTCTTTTTCTGTGCTAGGCACTTAGTAGGTGCCAACCCTGTCTGCTGTAGTACACTGTAATGAGATGACATTCACCTTTGCTCAGAGCACTAAAATAAAGGCCGTAATAGGTGATTCATGACCTGAGGCAACCTTCTGAAGCTCGTGGCTTGACTTCCGAGGAACTCTCACTATTATTCTGTTCTCCCTGAACCATGAACTGAAAAGAAGGAGAGAGAGGAGGTGAAAATATTATTATTATTATTATTATTATTATCTCTGGCAGGTTCACTCTGTAGCTCAAGCCCTTGTCTTCTGTCCAGGATGAGCGGGAGAAGGTGAGAAGGAACCGCTTTTGTGTTTGTTTTTCATCCAGGGCTGGAGGGAGAGGGTGAGCAGGGCGTGTGACTCATGTCAGAATCACTAGCGTGTCCGTTGAGAAGCAAAGAGGAAATGGGCTTCTGCCAAAGTGTCAAGATCTGGGGACAGTTTCTTGAAAACGATAAACACGAATTCACCATATAACCCAGAAATCCACTTCTAGGTCCGAGTCAGAGAAATACAAATCTGTCTCTATCCACAGACCTGTGCACAAGTGCTTGCAGCAGTTTCATTCATGACTGCCCCCAAAGGAAAACAACCTAACTGTCCACTGACAGGTGAGAGACCAAATGGACAGGCCTGTGCAGCAGAACAATCTAAAGGAATGAATAGCACACATGCTACACCATCCTTAACCGTAATGCCGAGAAAAAGAAGCAGGAGACCCAAGAGTTAGACTGTAGGGTCCACTTATCTGACCCTCCAGAGAAAGACAGTCTATGGAGATGGAAAGTAGGTTAGCAGTTGGTTGCCTGGGGCAGGGCGGCGGTTGAAAGACTGGAATTAACCTTCAGTGGGTGTGAGGCACCTTCTGGGGGCGAGGCAAAGGTTCTAAACAGATTTATGGTGATGGTCACACAATTTGGCAAATTTACTAAAAAATCATGAGTTGTAATATTTGAAACCGGAAAGTCAGCTGACATGTACAGTGTCCCTAAGTCAGTTCATGTTTAACAGGGGTGTCTCTTTTTAGCTCCCATCAGTTGTGGAAGCACATCTCAGTTCTCCTCTCCCATGGAACCACATGGTTGCCTGGACGCTCTACCCCACAGGACACCCACCTCAGTGACATGGGGTCTCATGAGTCCTCCTTAGCTGTGCCTGCTGGCAGGGGAACACCTGGGCCCAGTGCTCTGACCCATGTTGCCACACTAGTCAGAGCTACGCATGCTGATTCCCCATAAGGAAAATAAACCCATTCTGGTTTCAGGGCTCTCTGCTTTTAAGCCCCTCAGACCTCTTGTGCTGCTGCCGAGGAATCAGAACAGACACCCACGGAGGCAGGTGGAGTCTCATGGACTGTGCCGCCTGAGGTCTATTCCTTGTTGGAAATAAAATCAAACATCCCTCTCACCACATCTTGGCTGCTCTCTGAGTGACAATGACCTCACAGCTGGGTTATTAGAAGGAGCTTCATCTGTGCAGGAAACACTGGCATGTGTGTGTGTGTGTGTGTGTGTGTGTGTAGGGGTTGTAGGTGGAAAAAGAAAAAAAAAAGAAAATTAAAGAAAAGAAAGGGAAGGTGCAGGAGTGTGAGCGGGTGGGGATAGATCTCTCTGATTCTCAAAACACAAAACACCAACAGAAAGGCAGCTAGATGGTGCCGCGGCCCCCCACCTGGCTTTCTCACTTCCATTTTGCAGATGAAGAAGCTGAGTCCAAGGGAGGTGACATGCTCCCCCCACCCCGCCCCCGACACACACACTCCCTGGGGAGTCTCAGGGGACAGAGGAGGGAGCCTCCACAGCTGGCCCAGTTTTCTTGCCTCGAAAGAGTGTTGAGAACTCTGTAGCCTGGACTTCCCTGCCTTGCCAGGGTCTTCACGGCCAAGTGAGAAACCCCTGTGTGGGGAAAGGGGAGGAGCCCGACACTGTCCGTCTCCTTGTGTCTGCCCCTCTCCTCAGACCCTTCAGGACTCAAGGCGGAAACAGGAAACTGAAGTCCAGACAGGGGCCCACCCTGCCCACTCCTTGGGCAGCAGCCCTTCCTCTTCCTTTCCTGCGCTGTGTGATTTCACAGGAGCTGTCCCTTCACCTGGGACCACCTGCTTCATCCTTTCAGTGGAGTTTTGGCACCCACAGTCTCCACACCAAAAGCAAGGCCCCAAACCTTCCTGTCACTTGGGTTGTCCCCTCACTCGGGGGTTGTCTTGGCTGCCCCAGGACTGTTACCTGGTGATGCCGGGTGGGGCTGTCTCCAGCCTTGCTGTCCTCCCTTGCATTTCCCAGTGACAACACCATTTATTCCATCCCTGGCACATGCTGTCTTGTGCTCGTGAGGCTCCTCCTACCCGGGCTGTGCCCCCCTAGTGCCTCCTCAGGAGGTTTGTTCTCCTTGTCGGTCCTGCTCAGGGCCCCCGCCTGCCTGCCTTGACCACGCCCTCGTTCTCTGGATTTTCTGCGCTGACTTCTCTGGTGCTGTTTGCTGTATCATTCTGTAACTGCTCTTTTGCTTGCCCCTCTGTGCCTTGAAGCAAAACAGAAGCAGCCTCCCAAAGAGGGCAGACAAGCTGCAGTACATCTGGAGGCCAGGAGACTTTTGAGGCTGGGGACTGTACCTTGCCTGGCTTCTAATTACCAGCCCCAAGCACAGCTCCTAGAAAGTTGATATTATTAAACGTTTATAGGGATAGATGAGCAACCCACCTCAAGAAAGCTAAGTGTCAGTGAGGCCTTTGCATTCCGGGGTTCAGAGGATTCCTTTGTGTCAAGAGCATAGTCTTTGACAGAGCTCTTGCTAGAAATGTGGCATCTGCCTGACTCCAGGGGGATCCAGTTGAGACTCCCAGATGTTAGCCATTGGAATCTCCAGCCCTCGATCTCATTCTATCCTTAGATTCCCTAAGCCAATGCCAGCTTTACTGCTATTCTTCTGTCCTCCACAGGAAGAGGTTAAGGAAAAAAAACTCAAGAAAAAGGATGATGCACATTCTGAAAAGTGAGGGGCAGCTGACTTTCCACAAGGGCTCTGGACCCAGCTCTTCTCAGTGAACTTTCTTTGTATGCAGCCCCCAAATTTCCCACCGCTAGCCTATTGTCCCATGATTAGATGCTGGGGCTCCACAGGTAAGAGATGACAATTCTAAGGGTAATTGAACACTCCACAAATTTTCACAGTGGATCAGCACTGAACCATTTAGCTCAGGTATTTCTGTGATTGCAATGCTGAGAAAATGTATGCCGTTAAATGGTTCTCAAATCACTCTTTCCTCTGAGCAAAACAGGACTTGGTATTTGCAGTGTTATAAAAGCAGGTGGCTTGGGAACAATGACTGCTTAGAGATTAGGGGAAAAGAAGCTTTTGTTGGAAATTTGAGTCCTTGAAATCTAGGCATCAAAGATTTAAAGAATAGAAAATACTTAAATGTCTTTGAGGTCTTTACCCTTTTATTTGATAAATGTGATGCAGATTGTCAGGAGCTCAGCCAGGCTGTCATGAAGATTATTCCCATTATACAGATGCAGAGATAGAATTCTGTGGTCACACAGCTTAACGGGGTGATTCTGGGGATAAATTTGGATCACAGTTTTCTCCAGATAAGATTTTTTTTTTTTATCTTTCATGTGACCATTTAAAGACATAAAAGAAATGTTATCCTTCTTTGATGGTTTGGCTGGTTGTTACAGAACAGCTCTTGGCTAACTGTAACATAGAAAGAGGGTCTTGGTACCACCTTCTTTGAGATGGTGCAGGGCAGAGAGGGGTCTTCACAGCACAGCAGGGATGGCTCCCCCCAGGGGCTGCAGGTTCCCTCGGTTGCTTTATTGACAAGGTCGTGGTTCTGGTATCAAACCTGGTGCCATGGTTTGGCAGAGGGAATGCAATACGCATCACCCCAAGTCTACA